TTCTTAAGAGTGGTAGTCTTTAAGGGGTTGAATAATTGTGTCAATGAAGAAATCACAAAAAAACATTTAATACTGTATTACAAAAACAATTGATGTCATTTTAGTTGCATTTGGTTCTTTAAAAAGTCCTTGTAAGATTTCATTCTGAACACAATTACAAATATACACTGAATTCCCTAAAACCCTTTACAGCATTGGGGATTGAATAATTTTGAACACAACTGTAAGTTGTATTTTTCTCTTTATAGGAGTAACAGGACTGAAAGTAAGAGGACATGTTATCAATACTAATAGTATGATTAGTAACTTAACACACCTGATACAGATAATCAGGCCCTCCAGTTATATCTCAGTATGAGAACCAGCTTAACTTCAACATAGCTGACTCTAATAAGAAAAATGAAAACTGTCCAATTGGCAGTGGGGTAAGTAGCCTAATATTCCTGTTTGACTATCCTTTCATCTGGATTATCTGGCTAATGAAGAAATCCTGCTTTTGTGGAATACCCCCTGTTCTTGGACTATGAGGCTGAAAGTAACCTTGTGGATCTCCCTGTGGAGTCACAACCAGTAGCTGGAGAGCCATGCTGAGTGTAGGAAAGTAGGAACATCTACTCAAAAAGTCATTACAAAAAAGTCACTGAAGGGTCAGAAAATCGAGGGACAAATTTATGTTAGCAAGACAGCTGCTGGCTAATTGTTACTTCTCTCCCTCTGCAGCCAAGTTCAGTTCAGTACACAAATTCAGTGCACTCACACTTCAAAGCACAAGGAGACACGCTCACTGTTTCTAGATCAGTCTATTTCAAACACATATCAGTTTGCAACACGCTGAAATTTCCACTGAAAACATTAGAGTAGACACGCACAGAAATCCTGTTTGGGTTTGGTTTAATATTATGTTTTCTGGCACCTTGTCACATTCTAGAAAACACTGGCACTTCCTGCACGTGACATCAGAGTCACAACATCTTGCAGGAATGTAATGCCCTAAAATTAGGAACCATTACTCAGATGAAACATGTAGATAACTGTATCTAATTTCTAATATGCAGGTGGTTTAGAAAGGTCATCTTGGGTGAACGATGAAGGATCCTTAGACTGTTTACCACATTCTTAAGACTTTACATTACTTAGACATCACATATAGACCATATAATACATAGTCATATTCAACCCAACAGAACAGTTTCTTTACGTTTGTTTTGTGTCATTCAAATAAAATTTTGATATGGGTCTAAACTTTATATTGTTTTGTTCTGGCAGCCACACAAAAACATAAACCTATTCTGAAATCTACTTAAAATTCAATTATCGATATATTATAAATTAACTGAAAAATCAATGAAAGAAGAATCATTTTAACAGTTACAAAAGTAGCAAATATTATAATTCACAATGATGATATAATAATTTTTGTTTTTGAATTTTAGAGCGAGAATAAACAAAGACCAATACACAGTGAACAGGGAAGAGAAGGGGAGAAAAGCACAATACTTCAAGAATAATAATTGCATGCATTCCTGATCTGTCTAAAAAGTTGGGGACAAATCCATAGGTAAAGACAAGCTAACTGTTTGTCTTTGGACCATGGGATACTATTTAATTGACAAAAACGTGGAACTAAGGTAAGGAATGAAACCCAGAACCCAGACATTGTGCAGCCACAATGTGATGCATTTTAATTTTCCTTTAAAACACTTCAGTTGTTGTTGATTCCATCACCCAAGAAACTGGAGCTGAAAGAAAATAAACACACTTCACGCCAGAAGTAGGTGTCCAGTTGCGGAAGAGTGAGGATTTGCCTGAGGCAGTGAGCCGAGACAACAGCTGAGGTCTCCAGTAAAAAGCATTACGGTGTGCTTCATCCTCCAACAAGCCAAAGATAGGGGCAGGTAGGCACCCTTAAATTACCTTTTTCCATGCTCTACTCTTGACTAATACATTTTACACACTAAGCTTCTCTTTTCTATTCACTTTATGTCAAACAACAACTTGATACAACATGTAAACATAACATGGAATTTATATACAGTATACAATACATACCATGGACAGCAACCATGTGCATTAAAATGTGTTTAGATATTTAATTGGATGCTATATATACAAAATTGTTTTTTACTACTGTATTCACACAGAAAAATTTGTGGAAAATATCCAAACAAATACCAAATGATGTCACATTTTTTAAATACAGATCCATGCATTAAGGGGGCAGGTCACCTTTAACACATCACAGTATAAATATACAAAGAATGTCATGATGCTCTGCTGTTGATGCACTTGATCACTTTTATTTCATGCACATGGAAAAGTTTTCTAACAAACCAATTTTAGTTAATCTCAATATTTCTTGTTAGAATGCATGGTTTTTGCAGTGACTGCATATGTGCTTGATGGGAGGTGTGGAAATGGCCTGCATCAATATACTCTTATTAATGGAATGTCAAAGGCACTCATTTAGGGCGATCAAGTTTAGTATTTATGTATGTGACAGATTATGACATATATTATACAGGAGTAATAGAAAATATGAAGGCATTTCTTATAACTATAACTGTAATCAACGTACAAAAATGTTATCCATTCCTCCACATAATATTCCTTCACTTGTGTAATGTTGGAGGGGTTTCTTGCATTCTTTGTTTTGAGTAACTCAGTTGTAGATTCGGTGTCATTACTATATTAAAAGACTTAGGTTATGGTTCACCTTCAACTTTTTCACACATGGCCCGACATTCTCCTCAAACATATATGATGTTGAATTAACTGTAGACACTATGATGGCAAGTTGCCCAGACCCTGAGGAAGTCAAGCAGCCCCAAACCAAAACACTCCCACCACCAAGCTTCACAGTTGGTATGAGGTTCTTTTTCCTGAAATGTTGCCTTGTATTGCCAGAGATGACATCTGGCATTGAGTGCAAACAACACCACCTTTCACTCCTCTGAATGAGCACAGTGCTCCAGAAGTGTTGTCACTCTTGTTGGCATTTAATTTCAAACTTCAATCTTGCGCTGATAATCTGTTTTGAGAGTAGAGATGTCTTCCTTGCTTGACCTCCTATGCAGGCCAAATCTGTGGGGTCTCTTTCTTATGGTTCACTCCTGCACTTTCACATGGACTCTGGCAAGAGCTGCCTATAGAGCTCTTGATGACACCCTTGGGGTCTTTGAGACTTCCTCATGCATCTTGTGCTCTGTTCTTCGTGTAACCTGGACAGATTGCCGGTCTATTTGTAGGTTATTTTACAAATATTGCAGTGGTTGATTTCAATTAACTTGGAAATACTTATAAATACCTTGCCAGACTCATAAGCATCAACAACCTCTCTTCTGGGAGCCTTGTGCAGGGATATTGGCATGATGGTACCATGTACCTCAATGGCTATGACCAAACAAGACCAGGGGCACAAAACACCTTAAGTTTCCCCCTTAAGTATGACACTTTCTCCTAATGGCAATTTCTCCTAAGCTGAGGAATTTATTTAAGGGTGTTGGACAGAATCCCTTAAAATGTTTCCTTAGTTCAGAAAAAATCTTAAGGGATTTACTGCATTGAAAGACATTTTACAGTAGTAAATTGTACAGTATCAAGCCTGCTGGTGATACCTGTTATCGCCTCCAGTGTTAATTTCATTGACAGAAATGTTGACGGAAATATAGCCTAATGAAGGTTTTTTTGCGTGACAATAATTAAGACAAAAACATGACTTAATTTATGACAAGGACAAAATGAAACATATTATTCGTCTGACAAATATAAATAAATTTTAAAAGTTAAATTTCTCCCCATTGCATCCTTTTCTGATGAAAATTTGGACTATGTTCCTCCTGCTGTAGTATGTTCACTATGAGTAGGCACTTCTTGCTTGACTAATAACAACTGAGTGGAGAATATAGCGATAAACTTTGCTGAGTGCTTGACAACAAGCACTAATGCTAACTTGGAAGATATGCAGAAACATACTGGGAAAAGAGAAGTAGTGGAGGAAAAAATGAGCAAATAGAATTATTGTTGTATCTCAGTTACATTAAATGTATTTTTGCATGTGTACCCATATTTTTGTATTAGAAAATTTGTTCTATAAGTAACATACTTCTGTCTAATATTGCCTGTGCCCAGGGTGAAACTTGTCAGCACTAATTACATCGTTACATGGTTTTTTATTCTGCGAAATTGAAAGATCGATCTGTTTTCCAGATTTAAGAATTATAAACACGCCATGGGACATATAAATAAAATCATAACAATTGCAGGACACTCTTCTCCGAATTAATTCATTTTCTTCATTTATCACCATAAACTCAGCTATGTTGCGGTTAAGTCAGCGGTATCTTGTGTTTTTTCCTTACTTTGGTTGTTAAAGACTTTTGTGCAACCATTAAGGGAATTTTCCTTATGTATAAGACTAAGATAAACTTAAATATTTAAGTGAACATTTTAAGGAGACCTTATGGAGAAGACTTAAGGGTGTTTTGTGCAACCAACTTTATTTTAAGGAAACCTTAACTTGGACTTCATGGAAAATCTTAACTCATGGTGTTTTGTGCAACCGGCCTCAGTTGTTTATGTAAGGTGACATTGTCAGCCTGACCTGGACAGATTGCCAGCAGTTAGTCTAATAATAATCTAATCATTTGCACCTGATTTGATGCATCTCTTTCTAATTTTTAGGTTACTGTAGTAATGATTGCTCACACCTGTTTTTGCAAGGCCAAAAGTCTTGTCATGTCTTTTAATGATTCAAACAATCACAGATTAGAGGTTCACCTGTGACAAATACTGTAATTAACATAATCACAGGTGTGTATAAAAAGATCCCCAGCACACCAGACCTTCACTTGAAGTGCAGCCTGACTTCTGATGCCAAAGATTCAACCACAGACTAAGTCTGCTGCTGAGGTGTCAGACATCGTTAATGTATCCAAACGTCAAGTGGAGAGGATAAAAAAAGATATGAAGAAACTGGTGATGTTCATGACAAGCCCAGGTCAGGCAGACCCCGTAAGACAACTCTTCGAGAGGACCATTTGTTGCTTCGAAAGTCCAGGGCCAACCCTTTTTCAACTGCAGCAGAGATACATCAGAACTGGTCACCAGAAACCGCTGTGTCTACAACAGGGTTTCTGCAGGTTTTCTAAGAGTAAATTTAAGACTTTTT